TATATGTAATCTTTGTAACAGTACTCGTATACAAGAAGAAACTATCTTTATGGACAGCCCAAAATAGCATATGACATTTAGTCATATTTAGTGGATTAAATTCGTGTAGGTAATTAATGATTGCTATTTGTCAACCATAATATCATTATTACAAACATTATGCGTTAGCTTCGTACTTATATATGGAAGAAAATATCCATTTTAAATAAAATGATTTTATGAAAATGAAAATTAGAAAATATTTTTTTAATCTTTATAAACACTACATATTAAATTCTTAATTGAATATTAAATTAATAATGTCGGCGATACTGTTTTCGCACCCGGGCGGCCAACAACCCAGGAACGGCCCTGGTTACACCGTAGCTTGTTCCCACATCAAGGGACAATCTAGACACTTTAGATTGCAAAGTTCTAGATTCTAGAGTCCAGCTTTACAACTTTCCCCCTCCCCGGTAGACCCAAGAAACTTCTCCGCCTGAGGTTAAATACCGATCAAAGGTTCCAGAAATGAAGTCACCTTCAAAGTCGACGCGAATCGCTTTGAAGACTCGAGAGAAAGACAATCCTGAACTTCCCCCAACCGGTTAGATTGAAATTGAAACGAACCGAATTCCAGCGTATAAATCAGAATTGGGCTTGTCGTTTATCAACGCGCAACACGCTCGTAGGTTACACGCGTCGTTTCAGACTGTCCGCGCGATTTTCTTGCCAGGGCAATAATTAGTCCGGTCGATTATTATATAAATCTCGTTCGGAGAAGGTCCGTTTCTCACGCGGCCGTGGCCGCGCGAGTAGTGACATTTCGCGAGGAAAAGCGTCGGTAGAAAGCCGGGGGAACATCGACGAGGGAAGCGGTGGTGTGCGGAGGGGGGTCCTCCGTACCGATAACTTCGGATAAACCAGTGGTGTCTGGCTGTTTTGCAAGCGGTGAAAAGTGGCAACCACGGCGGCTGCAACGGCCACCGCATCCCGTCGTCGACACCTTCCCCACCCCGATTGGACTCTCTTGCTTTTACGCCGCGCTGAGATTTCGCGATCGTATGTATGCACACGGCTAATCGAACCGAGTAGGCGACGATGTGTGTGCCTCCTCCCTCCTCCCCGATGCGCACGCGCTCGAGTTGCACAAGTGAAAGAGAGCCTCGGAGGTGGTGGCCTGGTGGTGTGTATGCCTAAGCGGACGTTTACTCGAAATGTCAAGGATGCAACCGCGTGCACTCGCCAGCGCGCCGCCACCGATCGGACCTGGAGACAATGGCGGGCCCCCAGGCGCGGGGAATTGTTATTTTGTCACGCATCGGCTTCGATTTACATGCTTACCGCGAAAAATATGGAAGGATAAATGTTCCCGCGGGTCACCATCGTCTTATTCCATAGCGATGCTTCTTTTAATCCTACATCACTAAACTATGTGGTGAATTATGGTATTATTGATCGTTCGTAAAAAAAGGAGACACGAGATATTTTCGTGAAATATTTTTTATTGAGATGGAAACCTGTGTTATATAAGTATTTATTATGGTCAGAGTTGAAAATAATGGGAAATAGAGACAATAATTCTATTTAGAAGAAACTGAGATTTTTGAGAATCGCGAATTCGAGGTCGTAATTGTCACGATAGTTTAGTGATCAAGGGTTAAGTGGATGTCCATTGGTTGTGTCGAAACGATTCAGATGGTACCGAATTTTCGGAATAGAAATAGGACTTGTGGATCTTGTGTGGTTTATCGAAGAGTCGCCATGTGCGATCTGTTTCATCTCACGAATGAATCATGATCGAGCGTTGACGACCGTTTCGCACGTAATCAATAATTGTTCCTTTGTACGCTGAATAATTCCAGAAATAGAATTGTACAGCTCACGTTGTTTTGTTACGGAACAATTGTATTCGGGAAGAATATGGAGTGATTTAGCATTGACCTCGAGCGGAATGCTACGAGATTCATGAGTTTGTACGATGCTAAGTCAATTAAATCTCAAACAGAGCTCCACAAGACTTTTAGAAGGTGTCGCACGTGTAACGTTGTCAGTTACGCTTAACTTAGAGATAACAGATTGTGGGATGAGTCAGTGATATCGCTGTTATTCATACTTCTGCGTGATACACATGGTATAATTTGTTGCGGAGTACATCAAAATTTCAGTCGAAAACAATCCTTCTATCTCTGGAATACAAAACTCAATTTAATCCCATCCATGGATGATCGATATCCCATACATCCATTATCACTAGACTGCGGACTTTATGCATTTATATCCTATCGAACTCTGTGAAATACAATAAAAGACGAAACATTCATCGGATCCAACAAGCTTTCTATTTCATTCCGAACTACGATATTCCAGAGGAAAAGTAAATCTCTACATTCGCCTCTGTCTTTACAAATTACTTCAAAAACAGTCATTATGCATAAAAATCCGCCGTCTAATTATTACACAATGAATTACTCCAAAACAACAAAGCATCAGTCGTTATATACGCGGAGACGCGGGAATCGTCGAGGCATCTTTAAAACTAGCTCCTCCCACTGACCCTGACCCCTCTTGTCCCGGTCTTAATTAACCGAAAGCGACAATAAAAACGATGGGGCCGGGTTTCTCGTATGTATTTCTGTTTACCGGTTTTCGGGTGGAAATTACGCAGCGTTTATCTCGCGACGACGTCGGCGTAAAACCGGGTGACAGAGGGGATCGGGGGGACGACGCATCCGTGAGACACGCAGCAGCCTTGGGGACTTATCGAACGAAAAACGCTTCTTCGGGCTTTACTGTCCGGAGATAAAAGCGTATCCCACGCGCTCGTTGCTGCCGAGACGAGAGACAGGCAGTCTGCCACGGGCTGCTCGTTGATACGAAACGGTTTCCCGGCCGCGCCGGATATCGTTGCCACTAGGCGAGACAGAACATGATTTCGATTCACCAGTTCGTTTGCTTTCGCGGACGAAACGCGCGCGCGCCCTGCTCCGCGGTGCGTATGACTCCTTTCGATCGGTTCTGATTGGCGAACGGGGGGAACGAGTGACGCCGGTTCGTGTCTGCACGGGCATTTGTGTGTTACGAACGCGAGGATTATGTACATATGTATGTCGAAACCGATGGAACGAAGGCTATCGTGGGGATATCGGTTCGTTGTAAATTTTCAGACAATCATTAGCCAACAATGTCGTTCGTTGCCATTACAGGGCACCCGATCGCCTAGCCGTTGTCTATCCAGTGGCATTAAACCTTATAAGCTCGAACCGCTCCCCCCCACCCCCCTTCCCGTCTCTGTCAGCGTGTGCGTAGATCGTAGCATTTCCATTGTGTGACGCAACCGGGGCTCTACGCGGCGATTAATTATCGATGGCGAATCCAGATACACGCTCGATGTGCTATTCGCGATTGGTGGGTACTGTATTTCGTCGATCGCCGTGTGTGCGTTGGTTTTCAACGGTGGGAGAGAGAAGATCGCTCGGAGCGATCGATAACGGTGATGAATCGCGTGGCGAGCTTGCTCTTTAGAGATGCTCGAGGAAAGCCATCGCGTACGAACGTAACACGGTATCGTATGTCGTGGTGTTTCGTCAGAGGCTCGTAGGAATTGTGCGGATAAAATTCGACGGAGGAAGTTTTTCTGACCGATTAGTTGATTGGCAAGGTGTACGAGATATCGAGGTAAAAGCTTGGAGTCATCCTTTGTCTTTTGTGCGTATCAGAAGGGAAAGACTCTAATTCGTGTAGATGAATTAGATATTGCAATAGGCAATGTTGAACTTTTATCATGTAATATTTAAATTCCTGTTTATTTCACTTTCTCATATCATGTTACACGCGAACTAACATTCCTCCTTGAACCGCAGAAAAATTCAAATTTGTGTAGAATTTTATACATACATGTGCATGCAATATTTGTAATAATGCTTATTTGTACGCTATTGTTTTCCTCATTTTAAGGACACGGAGAAGCTTATATTACTTCAGCATAATTGTCCTCTTAAAAATACGAAAAGATATTTCACATTTAACTTGTACTTATTAGAAAATAATAGATTACTAATTAGTACAACTAATAACGTATAAAACTAACGATCATTATTACAATTTTATTCTGTGGGACACAACTTGTGCACATAGAGTGGCTACTATGTTCATCAAGCAAAGACTTTAGTTCTTGTTGACCTTATTAGGAAAGATCAATACCTATACACTGTGTGATGTAACTGGTGATACAACCAGGTAAAGAGTGATTCAACACGAAAAAATAAGTAAAAAATATAGAAAACAACTTTTTCATTTTACACTTCGTTTTCGAGAAAAATCGACATTGAAAATCTCTCGGATACGTGTGCAGTTCAACAGGCTCTGCTGACACGTCTGTTCATGGCATTCCGTATCTACTTACTGCCAGCACGAATTCACCCGCGTTCCAGATGAATCCTAAAAACTTCAATTCCCTCGAAAACTAAACCTCGTATGAAGAAATTTGACTCCATATTTTTGATTTATTTTTTCACTTACAATCACACCCTACCTGTACCATGACTTATATGGTACAAATGGTAAAACTCTTACCTTTCACCTTATCTATTCTATGGGTCACACTTGTGGACCAAGAACGGCAACTACATACATCAAGCAAGGACTACACACTATCAAACAAAGGCAGTGGTCCTTGTTCATTTTAACCCTTTGCACTCCGAGCAATTTTTAATATAACCTACCAACAACTCCGAGTCATTTTTACTATGAGCAACCAGCTATTCCAGGACTATTTAATTTTAACACACAATTATACATGCAATGTTACAGTAAAGGCCCCCATGGAAAAGTGAAGAATATTTTAATTTTTAAATCTATAAAAATATATACAAATATATACGCTGTCGCCGCAGCGGCGATATCGGAGTGCAAAGGGTTAATAGTAAAAGATCTACACCTGTCTAAATAAACTCTTACCTTCCATCCTGTTTACATGGAACCGTACAGACATTCAAGAATCTTTTATTTCTGTTTCACAGATCGGTTACCGCGACGAGCCGGCGATTCCCGCGAACACCCAGTGGTTCTGATCGACTCCGATCTGTCCCGTCTTCCGTTGCCGGACCTGGTGTTGTCCGCGGTCGAGCAACTTCCGGCCGCGACGCCCCAGGTGACCGTGTCCGCGCCGAGCAGCCCGACGCGGGACGTTGCCTTCCAGTTTCCGGAATGTAGTACCGACGAGGCACCGGAGCCGAGCCCGAGGCCGCGGCCGCGAAGACGCAGGCTCGCGTCGGAGGGTGGCGCCGTGAAGAAGGGGCCCATCGGCGAGCCAACCTGCAACAGCTGCTGCGGACACTTCGGGCAAGCGTTCAACGAGAGCCAGTGGGCGAGCGTGGGTGCGAACCTGAGGAACATCGCCGATGACTTCCACGCGTCCCAGACCAAGGTCAGTGCACTGCCTGTAGAGATTTGTAGATGTACAATTTGTCAAGGTCGATTCCAACTGTACGTCTGTTGTCATTTCTGGGCTATTTAACAGATGTATGGGTACCCGAGTACCCAGATACCCATTTCTATAGGTCATTTCACAGTTTTGTATGTTCTTGTCTAGAACAGCACCTGGTATTTACGAAAATATACAGTAAATATATAGTAAAAATATATAGTAGGACTAAATATATAATATTATAGGAAGGGAAAACTAAGAGTTTCGGAAAAGTGTGGAAGTAATGTTATCCATGTTTATCTAATCTGTCAAAATGGGATTTTAGGGTAATACGATTCCTCAATTACCGTGAACGTTCTGGTTGCTCATAGAAGAGTTAACACTTCCAGCTAGGCAAAAGTGAATCTAACAGGAGAAGTGACCCAATTGTTCGACTTCGATTTTAACGGGTTTTTGTGAGATGAATAGTACACAGGTTCCTAATGATACATGTAAAATATTAGGCGTAGACACTCGATTATTTTAAAGGTACGGGCAATTCAAGTTACGTACTTTTAAGGTGTACAGTAAATCCTCGATGAGTGGTCAAAGGTTCCTCGGCACTAAACATTAAATATTTCCATATTCATCAGCTAATGCCTTATTTAATAGTAACCATGGCCATAAAAGTCTAACAAATTTTACTGTTAATTCATGTTACAAGTGGAATTGGATAGAGGTCGGAATTTTCTCCTGAAAAATTTGAATATTCAGGATCCGCGGGGGTGACACTGGAAATACTCGCTCCAGGTGTCGGGTGTGATATAAAATCCGAAAATGGAATATGATTTCGCGTCTGTTTTTTCTCCTCGTTGATGTTTCCTATAAAATTCTCTGGGAACGAACCACGGCCTGGGGTGGGGGGGGGGGGGGGGGGCCATGTACAGGTGTAAGGTACGCCGCGTAAAAATAATTGTGTACCATGTATACGCTTCACGCCGCCTGTCACAATTCCGGCCTCCCCCAGGATGCCTTTTATTCGTCGTAAAGCCACCCCTGGTATTCCGGTCGTTATAAAACCCGCCCCGAAATATGCAGATGCCCGGCGCCGTCGTTGCTCCCCTGTCGCGCTTTTACGCCTTTAATTTCTAAATTAATTCTCCACACCGACCGACTTGGAATTCGCTAATACCAGCTTGGAAGTGTCAAATTCTCCCAGTCGTACATTTCTGGAACATTTTCGAACCCAACCAGCGATGTTTTCAGTATCGTTGGATAGATGTAAAATATTTATTCGAGCTCGTATCGAGTGCACGGCGCGGAGCAAATCCTGGAAAAATCGATTCAGACAGAGGAACCAATCGAGGACCCCTGTTCGGTCGCGATACCAACGATTTAATGGTCTCACGAATGATTCAGTATCTCTCATTTCGCCTGGGTGTTATAGGGGGATAGAAGCTACGTTTCTCGCCACGGAAAGAGAGAAATTGGCGGCTAGAGTGTGGGTCAGTTGAGGCCATAAACGCGAATTTAGTTATATCGGCCGGGCACCGTCGATGTCCCACGAGCGCAATAAATATCTGCTGTTCGCCACCGTTAAGACGTCTGGTATTGCTCCCGTTGCGCGTGTGTGTGTATGCGCATAACCCTGCGGATCCTTCGCCAGTTCATCACCGGGGCAGGCCTCCCGAACTCGTCGATCGTTCGATCAAATATGTATCAGGCCATGCGAAACGGTGCGTCTACTGATTGTACGAGACACGCGTTTTCTTTTTATTGTTTATCACGACGCGGTATACAGGGGCTTCAACAACGGATCATTCGAGGGAAACAGGAAGGCTTGATTTTGTGAGAAAATTTCTGTTCTCCTGTCGACGAGATTGATCGTACAAGGATACAGTATGTAAACGAATTACGAAAGCATTGACGACAAAGGAGACAAATCGATCGAAGGGTTTTTGTGACGAAATAGCAGAGTATATCTAGCAGCTTCGAGGCCAAGATGTTTTCTCCGAGCCATTTCACCGAGAGAAAGAAGATAATAACACGGGGGATATATTTCCGAGTATAATGCCTGTGTTAATGATCGAGACGCAGTACCCATGCGATGATAATGGACACTTAACCGGTATAAAAACAGAACTAATCCCCGACGCAATCACTTACAACAGTATCCTAGTCAGGTTCTGAAAGAGGGGGAGAGTCGGATAGAGAGAGAGAAGGAGGGAAAGGGGATAGTTTCTCCGGAGACGATTATTACGGTCGGTCGTTCTTTTCACTGTGTGTCGACGACAAAAGCGCGGAGAGGAGTCCTTTCACGGTTTTACGAGATTCCCCGTGATTTGCCGCGGCCGATTGGAAGAAAGAAGCCGAACGAGTCGTGGGGGAGGAGTGAGGAGGGGAGTGAGTAAGAAGAAACGGGGCGAAAGGGAAGACGGAACAAGGAACGAGGAGAAAAAGATGAACAAGCTCTCGAAGGGCGTTCCTCTCTTTTATCCCTGGTCCCGACTTTATTCGCTTTAAAGGTCCTCGCCAGCGTGATACCCAATCCCGGAACGTCTAATTATTGCTGGTTAAGTGGCGGTAATTGAAGGGGGGCGAACGGACCCGTGAAATTGAAGAAATCCCTCTTTCTCTCTTTCTCCTCGCCTGCCTTGGGTGTCGGCCTTAAAGCTCTGTCAGGGATCGGATACCAATCGGTTCGGTAACTCGAGGAGCGGGCTTGTTGATAATACGAATCGTGGTGAATTCTCGACGGGGATTGTCTCTGTGCGGATCTCTCCTCTGTTTGCGTTCCTCCCTCTGGGGGAATCGAAGTGTCGGATTAATCCGGTGACGCTCAGACGATAGAGAAGATGAGAGAGAGAGAGAGAGAGAGAGAGAGAGAGCGAGAGAGCGAGAGAGAGAGAGCGAGAGAGAGAGAGAGAGGTGACTCGGTTCTGTTTCCTCCGTATTCTGGATGTAGACGTGGATTTGTCTTTTATCTCCGGCTCCTTTTCTCATCCACTTTTATATATTTGTGGAGCTTGGTACGTGTCTTCGGAACAGTCACGCGAGACCAGGGTGGGCTCGTAAAGCTGAAACTTCGTCTTAGAGTCATTTTATACGGAATAGAAACCGAGGATGATATTACTGTACAGTGCTTTACTGCCACCTTTTATGTCAGTCATTCCCAGTTCGAGCATAGCTTCACCATACTAAAATCACGGACTGTACAGTTTCGAATATTTCTGAATGTTCAGACCTCTCCCTGGCAGAAGCAACTCTGGCTGTTTCGGTAATAACGATTCCCTTCGTTCGGCGTAAACTTTCCTGGAAACAATTCCGGGGACAGGACTCTCGTTAATATTTCACGACTCTCAAAATCAACGGCGCACACGGGCGAAACTTTCAACCCGTCCCCTTTCCTCGTCACCGGCAACAACAGGTGTTTCCGGCCCTGTTTTCGCCTTCAATTGGGCACCTATGTGCGTTCTGTCACAGGCGCAAAACTCCTTTTACCGGATGTCGTCGCGGTCGCGTTTGGCCGTTTCCCAGCGGCTTCGCAACGAACTTCTGGGATCGGGAACGGAGGCTGTGTTGATTGGCCAACACGTCGTCATGCGTAAGTTACGAGCCTCGATCCTCCCGTCTTTCCCCCATTCGTCATGGGAAGCCAACGCTTTACATATGCATGGAGAGTAAGCGAGCATGTAACGGCTAAGTGGTCACATCCCCTTACGTGAAAGTTAAGTGGGCATGGCAGCACGAGCCGTGGCCACGGGCCGAGAAAATTATCTTCAATTATCCCGTGCAATCGCAGCACCCCTTCCCCCCGCCCATTCTCTTGCCTTTTTCCGTCTTGTTCGCGATACTCATCGATTCCTCGTTAACTGATCGACGAACTTTTCCGTAACATAGTCAGTCGAAATAGGTATATTCTAATTGTTTTATTATCTTCCCTGAATCTACATATGAGCCGTTCAGAGGCTAAAGTGACTGACTGCAGTTTTTGATATTTTTTCAAATTTCAGTATCACAGCACTTGGTTAGTTCTTAACGTTTTATATTTACAAATAAATGTCCATTTATTGATTTGTGGAGTTAATCACTTTGACGAATGAACGGCTTATATTGAACCACCGTCACGTTTCTCAAGTTTTTTGTTTCGACTTTATACCCTTCCATGACTTAATCTTAATCTCTTCTCTTCCGAAATGTTCTTGGATTTGCGAGCTGTTCAAGGAAGTGTTACTGTGTCTCTCCTTCTCAGTCGTTATTTCGAATGTATACAAGGTGACCCAGTATCGATGGTACAACCGGGAAAAGGAAATAAGTGGAAAATAGAATAACATTTTGGCATCCAAGGCTTAGTTTTTGAGAAAATCGAATTTGAAGATTCATCTGTAACGCGTATATTCATGATAGTAAGTAGAAACGGAATGCAGTGAACAGGCGCATTAATCAAGTCTTATTCAATTGCATGCTTTCAGAGTCGATTTTCTCGAGAATGAAGTCTGAAATAAAAAAATTTCATTCCATATTTTCGATTTATTTTCTCACGTAGAATCACCATACTGATTGTACCATCAATACTACGACACCCTGTATACCTGAAATCTGGATTCTAGCAGGGATATCAATACTATCCGATGAATCTGAAAACCTTACAGTATTCCCCGTAACAATACAACGAATTCTCTGCACTTGGTGAGAAACCGTTACATATACATCGAGAGCATGTCATACATGTTAAGCGTACTTTCTTCCAAGAAGCCACGTCGGAGCCATCGTTCGTGGTATTGGATAGAAAATTACTCGGGGCCACGGACATGATAAAATATTCGCCTAAGCCTGGTGCAACAGATTTCCGCGAACCCATAGTAATTTACTCGACACGCGGCAGCGGCGGCTAATGAAACGTTCCGTCGACATTTATCAGTTATTTAAACGACCGCTCCACCGCGCAAATTGATATATTAGGCACCGTCCGTCCAAGCTGGGTAGGATAACTGATCATCGCCGCAAGAACCCCTTTCCCACTTCTTCTCGCCGGCGAAAATTAATCGCAAGAAAGTCCGATCGTTACTTCGGCAGCATGTGATCCGGATCTCCCTTCATTCAGGAGCGTATACCAACGTCTTATTTCCGTCTTTCGCGGCCGTTTCCAGGCTGTACACCTCTGGAGACGTTTTATCGTTCCGTTGCGTTGCACTTGCCGGGGCCTACCGACTGTTCCGACCGCAGACCTCCGTTTTCCATTGGCTTTTTCTTACACGACGAAAACACTCTGGGCCCGATCGGCCGTTTCCACGGCGAGCTACAGCGCAATTACAGTTGCACAATAATCCCTCCTGGGTTCTAGTAGTCGCGCGAGCTGCGCCTGGCTACCAGCGCAGACACTGAGAGGCATTTATTTATCCTCCGCGTCGTTGCGCCGTGTACACACCTGAACTCTCTCGGTGTGTAATGGTTATCGTTGGGGAGTGCGCGTAATTGCCACGATTTTTCCTCGGAGATCCGTGGTCTCTGATAAGAATGGGTGTAACGGGATTGGTTCGTTGCTTCGTAACAACTGTCCTGGTCTTGCTGAGTCTTGTTGTTTTCGGTGGAAGCCATTTTTCGAAGGACTTAGGTCTGGGCCTCTTGATTTTTCCATTTGGTGATCTAGTGTTTGTTACGAATGTCTTATTAGGAAGTTCAGGAGTGTTATAGTATTCTAATAGGGGCAAGATCTTCATCCTGGATTAGTGCTGGTCTTCCCATTTCACAATACCTAGAAGATATCGCAAACAGCTGAAACACTTTTACCAGTTCGGACATTGCTCTTTCAGATATTTTTCTATCAAACGATGCTCTCTCAAAATTTCATATTTCAATGTTTTAATCTCCTACGAAGGTTCAGCTTTAAGTCAATTTATGACGAACAAGATTCTCAGGCGATCGTCTTTCGATCGTGTTCCGTGAGCTGCATCCCCGTCGAAGTAGAGGGCGACGGGTTCGTGCAGCGGGAAGTTTTAATTTAAATTTTGCAGCGTACTTTCTGAATCTCGGATGCTGCATTTCCGCGGGCTGCGTATTAAATCCAAGCAACCGGGTCCCGCGTGGTTTCCCGCCGTGGCTGAATTATTAATCGTCCGCTCGGATAGTTGAATTAAAGTCGCCCGGGCGAGGGCGAGACGGGGCCGCGTCGTTGATCCTCGAATTAATCACCGGCGTAACTCCTTAACCGAACAACGCGAGCAGAACAGCGGAGAAGAAGCAATCTTTTCTTGAGCAATTCGCCTTGAACAATTAAAATTTACATCGTCCCTTCCTTTCTGGCGACGACGCAATCCCTTGGTGACCTGGTCTCGCGAATAAATTTCGCGTTTACCGTCGACGAAGCGCGTGCGAAACCGTTCGTTGCTCAAGCGGGGCGTTCTCTTCCGGGCCTCGAGCAATAAAACTCGACCGCCAGACTTTTCATACGGCTAGGCGTCGAGAGAGAAAGTCTCTCCACGCAGGTAAGAACCGCAGGTGGCTGGATAAACACGCCTCGAGAGGCGCGTGAAACGTTAACACGCAACGAGTCATCGCGCGGGGTCAGTTTACCGAGAAGATTGATAAAACGTGGGACCGTAAGAGTTATCGTGGGTAGATAGAGGGATGGGGAGGATTCGACGAGTAAGGAAACAAGAAAGGAACAACGAGGAGAGGCCGGAGGAGAATGGGACACTATTAATTGACGAGGTGGACTCACCCACGAGAAAAGAGTCCATAGACCATAATTCTTTCTTAATGTGACGCTTTCCTCTGCTCCTCTTGCTCCCAACCCTCGAGAACGTATCCCGCGTAATCTCTTCTCGCGGTGCCACGGTCGGTCAGACCGAGTGTTTTTCTCCTCGTCTGTACACACACCGACGGCAGAAGGAAATACGACTGGATGGCATGTGGGGAACGACGGATCGAACCCGACGATGACCAGATATTATGGCCACCCCATAAAAGCCTCTGCTCGGAGATTGAGCTTTCCCCCCCGCCTTTCTCCGGGCGTTTATTATTGCACGTCCGGCCACCACGAGTGGATTAAGACGAAACGAGGATCGGAAGTCGTGCTCGCGCGGTCCCCGTAACCCCCGAGGGTGTGATCGGGGAAACAAAGATGACCTTTATAGACATAACCTCGGAGAGAAACATCGTGCGACGTCGTGGATATGGGATGAATCGAGACGATTGCTCGCGGGAAATATTACCAGGAGCCGGATTATCGTTGCCTGGGTCGATTTCTGATCCACAGAGCCCGATTAATATTTCAACGAGGCGGACCGGATTGAATTTTCCCTTCGAGGAATTAATAATTCTTCGTAGACAATGGGATGGAATGGATTGGAATCGGTCGTGATATCGATAACCCTTCGCTGAGCTGGTGATTCCATCTTTAATGACTAATTGGATAATGAATCGTTCGGAGAAGTTATAATGGAGAGACCTTTTGCCGGAGGGTACAAAAGGGGTGGTGGGTGGGTGACCGTCCGATTCTTGGAGAGTCCACGAACCGTGAGGATCATGTTGGAATTCTTCAAAGTGGGGAAAATTAATTGACAATTAACCGGCATTAATGCGCAGCCCCGTCGGATTTGTGTTTCGCGTTAGATGGAGAACAGGTTTCCCGGGGGGAGAGCGAACGGCGGACTTTAATCGCGACGCGGCGGCCACCCCTCGAGCGGTATCGTCTTCTCGTGTAAATTCGAAGGGATAAGGGAACTCGATAAAAAGGACCCCGTGATGCTTTCTCCGCGCCGGGGGCTTAGCCACAAGGAGTGTCGAATCGACTGTAATTCCGTCCAATTAGACCACTCCCAATTAGGAACCTTAGCCCCTGTTCCGTTTTTCTCCGCTCCCCATTTCACCTGAAGTCACGGCTCCTGCGTCGGGCGGCACGACAGCTCGCCTTTGATAAGTCTTTGAGAAAAAGACGGGGGAAAAGTTCTCAGGGAACTTGATCCCAATACATTCGAGACGGTTAAGATTAATGATATAATTGTTATTAAACCTAACTTTAAGTTAGACTTAACTAAAGTAGATGACACACATGATACTGATGGTAAATTTAGGTCCACATAAAATCAAATTTATACAATCGTCATGATATTCGGTTTAATGAATAAGATTAGGCTAACATGTCTGGTTATTGGTTACCGTATCTACTGATCTACGCACGAGTCAATGCGTATTGTGCCCCCTGCTCAAAAGTACGAGGGGATCGCTAAAGTAGACGAGCTTGTACTCACCAAGCGAAAGAATTAAAGCAGACGCTATAGATTTGTTAAATCACTATTAACACCTAGCTATATTTGTATAAAAACCTATTTATTTTAATTCACTATTAAAACCTACCTATAATTGTCCTGAGCAGTGTATCAGAACCACCATTAAAATCATGATTATCCCCGAAAACAGACCCTTGTGTAAACAAATTTTGCTCTGCATTTTTTCTACCTTTGCACGGGGCATCACAATCAGTTCAGTATTAACACTACCCCCAATTACTCCACCCTGCATAAATGCCTCTTCGCAATATTTCTCCTATCATCGTAGAGACCCAAACGTAATTCTCAGAACCATCACCGTGACCATACTAACGGATCGATTGTCCACGTTGCGTGTTTCAGGCCGCGGAGATCGAGAAGTCAAGACTGCCAGCGTTGAGTCCCGGTTTCGCGAGCGCTCAGAACACCAACGGCTCCACGGACAGCCTACTCTCGTTGCTGATCCCGGCGCCGCTACGCGAGACCCTGTGGACGACGGTGGCCCTGTACCTCGGATGGAGGCTGGTCTCTCGTCTTCGATAGATGTTACGGTCTCGTCCTGTCGTCGTCGTAAACGGCGACGAAGGCGATGCCAGTACTCGAAGGATGATCAACGACGCATGGAACGGCACCAGGTGCCGTAGCCGTCACGACGAGCGACAGCGATGGTGGTTGTCGCCCGGTGATGAACCGGCAACTGGTCCTTCCGGCTCGTCGGGGATTCCTCTTCAGGGTTGCGACGCTACTGGAAGTTCTTCCAAGTTCGACGCCACGGCTAGGAGAATTGCTGGCGGTACGAGCGTTCGGGCACCGTTCACCGATGGTGTAACGAAGGTCAGCAGACCGATGGGGCCCGACGAGAACGGGCCCTGCCCGTGTGGTACCCGTAGGACGTCCTACCGCGACGAACACCACGTTCTGCATTACGATTACGTGTTTTTTATGTATATGTGCGTTTCACGCCTCGCGATCGAGATTGCACTCGAGCGGTTTCGCGTCCAGGCTATCGTCGGGAATCCATCGTTCTGCGACGGGACGACGGCGGGCGAGGACAAAGGATTCGCGAACAACAACGGGAATGTTGAGGAGGACGACGGTACGGATAGCGGTGTGGGCGAGGACGACGACGAGGATGGGAACTTGTCGACCGTTAGCTCGTCGTCGAGTCAGAGTTACCTGAAGCCAATTACCATTTGATGTTTCCTACGTATTTAGTTTACTTCGACGGATAAAAAAGAAATATGATGATCGTACGCTCGCGCGTGGCTCTGACACGATCGACGAACGCGAGGGGTCGCGCGATCCTCGTCGATCGACTGGGACATCAGCGTCTCATCTCATTTAGATATTCATCTCACGCTCATAAGGTATCTCTACCGTTGAGGATCGTAGCGGATGCGCGGATTCGTAGCGTCCGGGTGCAGTCTCGCTCGTGGGGCGGCGGAAATTATCGAACAGACCTGTGCTCTGTTCGACCGTGTGCCGATCGTTCGCCTTCCAGTTTCACGTCACGGCGCGAAGGTAAGAGAGGAGGGGGAACGGCCGATGCAGATTCTTTCTACTCCCCCCTCCAAGAAGTAGAACAGAATCCAGCGAATTCGTGACGGCGAGCGGATCGTGACACGGGTCTGGGTGAGGGTGACGGGGAGCTAAGGACGAGATCCAAAGAGGACTTAACCCAATAATCAAATGATGATCTCATTACGGATATAAAATAAAGAGAATTAAATAAAGTAGTGTGATTAACGGGAACGGGACAGACGGGGGAGCGGGTTTTCGTCGTTTCGTGACGTATATTTTTGTTTTTTTTTTTTATTTCGTTTCCGTTTCTCGTCTCTCTTACCGAGTCTCTATGACTGGTTTTATTTTGTCTTGTCTTTCGTCTGTCTCTAGTTCCGGCAGGAACACCTTGTCTGTCCCGTTCCCGTCGGTAGGAAGTATATTTGACGTGCTTGTAGATAACGCGGTTACCTAGCCGACACACAGGCAGGACAGAACTCTATCTGGGATATAATGACACCGTGCCATGTCGTCTCGCGAACGGTCGAAGGTCGCTGAACGAAGCCCGAAAAAAAAAGAAAATAGAGAGAGAGAGAGAGTAGAATGACGCGGAAAATTAGCGAAATTGCACGGCCGTCTGGTCGAAATTGTTTTGGCTGTTGAATTCTTCAGTTTTTTTTTTGTATAGAGAAAAAAAAATAGAGCGTCAAATGTTCGGCAAAGAACGACGTATGTGTGGACATCCAAGGGTCGATCGATTCGACGCTTGGGGTACACAGTCGGGTGCACGTGCGATCGTAGGACTAATAGGATCGTGATCGCTGGACGTCCATGGCGATGGTGAAAGAATCGTCTGTACATAGAAAAGTATCTCTAGAGGGGAGGATCTCTCTCTCCAGTGTATTCCAAAAAGCTAAAATGACGAAAAAGAGAACAATGGATTTATACGCGATATTGAGCAGGTAGGGAAACGGGCGAGGACACATAACGTGTTGAGGGGAGCAACGTATTTGTATTTGTATAGAGGATTTAAACTAAAATAATGAAATCCAGTAATAAGTCGACGTTTATAATTAAAGTAGATAATCGATAGGTCGAGGATCGCAGCATCTTAATTGGCTGGCTGCGACTCCCGTGGACAGTTTTCGAATGATCTCCGGTAGCTTAGCTCTTAGTGGCGCCCTCGTCCGCGACGGACGCCTTTCACGCGACACGCTGGAAATCGGGAGGGGGGGCTTTTCACCCCCTTTCTCCCGCGTGTCGTCTCTCTAACTCTGTTCCCCTCCTGATTTCTTACCCCCTTTCTTCTGTTTCTCCTTTCACCAACGTGGGCGCGCGCGCTTGCAGGCTACTGACGCCGCGACGCCTGCTTCTTTCATCGGTCTCTTCTTTTCAAATCGGTTGCTTTCGCGCCGTGTTTCTTCCTCTCTTCTCTTTGTTCGATCTTTCCATTTAAAAAAATTCACTGGCTGTCCCATTCCTTTCTCTCTTACCCTCCACGTTCTTATCTCATTGTCATCGTCATCTTCTTTACTTCCTTTTGTTTTCCCGTTTTCTTCTTTCTTTTTTTGTTTGTTACTCGTCGATCCTTGCGAATCTGTAATTAAACGTTTGATCTCGTGTATTAGCGTATTTCTAGGTCTCGTTGTTTGTGTTCGCGATCTCGAAACGAGAGTCTCGCGTAAACTGCCGCGAACTTCGCTCGTGGAAGTTCGACGAGGAATTTAATAATTAAAGGATAATAGTTAATGTCCCTGTCGGGGCACACTGATGCCGGTGGGCACGACGGGATGAAACCAAAATCATCATAAGGCTGTCGATACGATAGTATATTCTCCCGTGGACCGTTCTATCTGTCTCTCTATCTGTCTCTGTTCTCCCGAGTAAAGACTTCTCTGTTGTTTTTTTTTTTAATTAATTACTAATAACATTTTTTTATTACGATCGCTATTATTATTATTTTTTATTCTATTTTCTTTTTGTTTGTTTGCCTCTTTCTCTTCCACCTTAAGGTAACAGATAAGGTTTTCGTGACGTACTCCGTCGAAGTATTCCAGTGTGTAGAAAGTATAGTATTTATTTATAGGTAAAACGCATATTTGTCTATCGTGTTAGGTGAAAGAATTGCCTCTTTTTACTGCGAGATATGATACTGCCATTCGTCTTTAAACTAAAAACCGCGTAAGGTGTGTCGTTATAGGTGAGAAGCCGTCGGCCCTGTTCGAATGCTTCTTCGAGGAGGCATACACTACTCTTTTTTCGAAAGTCAATATTATAGGTGTCCTCGGTCGCGAGGAACGATCCCTTTAGGAACAGCGTAGGAGATCCGTTAGTTTTCGAGGAACAGCGAAAAAAAAAGTAGAATTCCGGTGTTAATAGATTTAAACGAAAAAAAAGAACAAAAGGGGAAAAGTTTACGAATCGTTTCATCGGCCCACGAATTTTGAATCCGTCAACCGATGAACTACTAGAGTCTTGATGTTTTCGACGTAATAGTAACTTATATAATAGGCTATCTTTGACGAAATACTCCGGAAACAACTGTGTTTTTGGGAGAGCACAAGTTCCGCGGTGAGCCATTCCTTCTGTATCCGTTACACCCTGATCGGCATTTGCGATTCGTTTAACCAAGTAGCCCTTTATCGTTCGTCCTTCATCGTTCGATTAATCTTAATTTAAATCGAGATTAGAGTAGCCTAAAAGAAAATTATAAATCGTATTTTAATCGTACTTCGTAAGGTTTATTAGACATGTATCGACACTTTGAGCCTGACGACAGTACATACCCATGCATTGAAATCATCGCTATATATTGATCATCTTACAATTTTATCGTACAAAATTTAGTAGTCGAATCCGTTTGTCGCATACCGATGTCAAAATTCGAAACTTTCTTAATTGAACAAATCCCAAAGGAAAGAGACTCACTGTCACGAGCTCTTCAGAATTTTATTAAAAAATGACGGCTTGCTCAAAGAGTCGATCGTTCGTGTTCCCCGGATTCCGTCGAGTTTCGCCTCCTCGTTGGGGTTCACCAGTAAACTTGTCTCCGGCTTTCGTCATACTAGAATCTCTATTAAGTTTTTCGATCGAGTTTTCTTCTCTCCTCTCTATTTACTCCGAGGAGGGGGTAAACGCGAGAGCGAGCAGGATCGTCGTACAATTGTGATTTAATAAGATAGTAATTGCCATTTTTCTGGCGGTGGGTGACGAGTCGCCGGAACCGTTTAGGGCCTCGCGTGCGCGAAAGGTTATATTATTAACGAAAATAAAGAAAAAAGAAAATGAAACATAGCATTCCGACCAAAGGAAAGGAGAGAGAAAACGGAAACGGCGCGTCGATCCGCGAAGAGAGAAAAAGAGAGAGAGAGAGAGAGAGAGAGAGAGAACAATGTTTCCTGTTTTCCTGCAGCGCGGCGAAACCAAACGCTGAACAATGGCGACTGCCTGGGCTGTATTTGATCTCTTTTTCTTTTTCTCGTTCTCCGTGTGACATAATATAGTGTACATCGAGTCGAATCGAACGAAAGTTAGAAAAGAGAAACGGTAACACGCGAAACATAGAGCACCGACACAAAACAAAAAACAAATTTCATACCCCGTGTACATTTTCTCCCGTAGTAGTGAGCTAGGAAAGAGAGAGAAAGAAAAAAAAATAATAAAAACGTTGCAAAACGATAAATTTGAACGAACGATAGAAGCTACAAAAGTGGTACAATAAGTGGACATCGCGAACTTTATTGATAGAAAAGAAAAAAAACTGCGAAAACGTGACCACAGGAAACGCATTTGTACATAGCCGCTTGTTCATGGGGCCGTACCGTTTAACCGTCTACGATTTCTGTATTTCCCGCCCAGCCACCAACCCCACCACCTCCCCTTTTTGTTTTCATGTTCTTTTTTCTTTTTTAATTTTACATCTATAGTTTCCTCCGTTTTTTGATTTCGCTCTTCCTTTTTTTTTACCATGCTTTAGAAACGGTAAAACCCTGTAGGAGCATTTTTACGTAGCGTAGTAGTCAGCCATATTCGAGAACGTATTA